ATTGCAAGAGTTTACCAAATGAAGAAGCTTCGAAGTCACAGGAATACTTAGTATGAAGTAGAATAGAGAAATAAGAAAGATCAGAATATAGAGGAAAATTCTCTTTCTACAATTTTACTTGGGGTTCGGGGGACAGGTCACGATCAATTATTTTGAGAAATACATTTAGTGTCTTTGACGAACAAATCTTTAGATTGTAAAACGAAAAATGGTTAGATTTACATTTGATTAAAACAAATAAAATGTATAAAAAGACATATAGGCCTTGAATTCAGAAGATCATAATCATAAGGTCACCAAGCACGATATTCCATTATCTCTTCGTCTTGCTCTCTATCTTTCTTTCTTCTTTTTTTTCTTTCTTTTATTTCGTTCTCAGCTCAAGTTTGGCAAAGCTGTCTGGACTTGTTCTTACACTGTGAAAAGGTTGGGCAATATTTTCCAACACTTTGCCAATAGTCAACCCAACCATCAATTGGGCAATATTTTCGTATTTTGCCCAACAGCTGGTCAAGTTTTTCCCAACAAGTTGGCTACCGTAGTCGGGCAGTTGAAGGGTCATATCTTTGCACAAATTTTGGTCAAAATACGAAACAATTATACACGTGTGAAGTAGGGTACTTACGTTTACCAATACCACTGGGCAAAATATTGCCTAAAAGATGGTTAGGTTGATTATTGGCACAACGTTCGGCAAAGTGTTGAAAAAATATTACCCAACCTTTTCACAGTGTATATTTCTATATTTTATCACCCACACTAAACTTTTACAAATTCTGGCACTGGAATTGTTCGCTGATGGCGAGATGTGCTATGAATCTTAACATTTTACATCGAGTTATTGCCCTTCTGGCTTTCAGCAGACGGAACTATCCCTGATGGGAATCGGATCGTTGATCTTCTGATGGCATAAGTAAGTGGCTACATAACCTACAGGCCTGAACTGAATCCAGGAAATAACACTCCTACTTGACAAAAACATATCTATTGCTACAGGTTGCCTTCAGATAGATATACTGATACGTCTCACTCCCCAGTGGGACAAAATTTGTCAAATTGAGAGTATCGTCTTCCTGAAGTCCGACCTAAAACTTCTTTTAAAATGTACTCACAAAATATCGGCATTCTTTCGTGTGTACATCGCTGTTTAATTTCTTAATGATTTTGTTTGGCTCTTCAGCACAAGTGGATGCAAAGTTATACCTACAGAGTCAAGTAAGGAATATAATAAACTTTATCTTTGAAGAAGAAAAAAAAAAGAGAAGATGAAAAATTGTTTTGAAAGCCTAAATGAAATCTGAGACGGTTTTGCTACTTCCCGGACTCTTCGAATTGATCTAACCATGAAAGCAGCGCGGGTCTTGAATTACATAAAAACAGGTGAGAGAGATTCCCACAAAAGCTAAAAAACCAAAAAAATGAAAGAGTCGGAAGGAAAACTCCCAAACCCCGCCAGCTAGTAGTGTCATCTTTCTGTCTATTCGGTAGAAGAATCCCCTAAAACTACTCTTCATCATTAAATGATATTTGTTAGCTTTGTTACGCAAACAAATATTTCCCCCTCTCTTTCTCTCTCCTTCTTCTCGTTGAAGGGCTGGATAAAGCGAAACGAACTCCCACGAGAAAGCTTAGTATTTTTCATTTAGCGTCTACCCGATAGTCTCTTATTGGCGGTGTTACAGCCGTAGGGTATAGCACTAGAGTACATGTATGTATACTTTACAATTTATATTCTTATTACTTTCATATTTGGCGAGAAGGGATAGTCTTTCTTTTCCCCGCTGTAAAGAGTATTGTAGGAGAGGGGATAACCCGACCATACCGAAACGTCTGTATCCCCGAGCCCACGTCGTATCTTCCAATTTCGGTTCGATTTCATATCGTCCTCATCCTCCCCATATTTTCGCCAAATGTACTCAATTTTGCGCCCATATGAGCCCCTCTTTTCGCAGTAATGAAGTATTGAATATCAATTTGACGTGGCAAGATTCTTCGAAGCAATGTCTTAAAGCACTGGAAAATCGGTAGGCGAATTATGAAATGCTTACTTTTAAACGTATTAAATTTTCTCTTTTATTAGTTTATTTGCAGGTTTAAGTTGTAAAATGAAACGTTTAAAAGCCCCTTATGAAAACAATTATTCAATTTCCCTGCTAGCTTCATTAAAAAAGTAGGTCGTGTCATAGAAAACAAATTTTTAAAAACATTTTTTCTTTTCGTATGCTTTTATTCATCTAGCCCACCTTTAATATGGTATACTTTGTTTCCTCAATTTATTATAATAAAATAATTATGAGATTTGTAAGGCGCCAAATTCACTTGAAATCATTTGCTCAAGGCGCACTTGTGCAACGGAAACAAAAAAGAGATCACATAAAAGAATTTATCTGCATCATAAAAAAGAGACAGAAGAACATACATATTATCTGTAGTTCCTTCATTTATTTGTTATTTATTCTTCTTTTATTCTCATATTTCATTGTGAGTAAAACCATGTTTTTTAAAGATAAATCCCCCTTTTTTTTTACAATATCAGAATTTGGAACTAAATATTATAAACAACTATTTCCAACTTATTTACCTCTGACACGACGACAAGCAGATACTACGACATCGCTTGATATCGTTCCACGTCTTTTTCCAGATTTACAAGCAAATAAAACCAACAAATGACGTTCAAGACAAGCAACATACACGAGGAATCATTGATACTTTGGATTAAGTGGGTATCAATCTATCACATATTTGTGAGTCATTATAACAAAAAGGGGACGGATGGATGCCTTAATTCGGGAAGGTACATTCTATCGCAACCTTACTCCGGTCAATGATAGCATGACCTATCTCCTGTACTTTTTCTCCCAGTCGACGATATCCAGATTGATTGGCAGTCCAGGACCAGAAGACGTACTTTACCAGCTAGGGTCCAGCAAGTGAGGGGGCATTAGCATGGGGGAGGGGGGGGGGGGGGCTCTTCGTCGGTGAAAGGAAATGTGAATTCATCCAGCTACCGATTGGGGGGGGGGTGCGGAAGGTGATCCCAAAAAATGATCTCTTTCATCCTCTCCCTTTATTTTTTTTCTTCTCTTTTGATTGTTTTCTTTGGTGTTTTTTATTCTTTCTCTTTTCATCGTTCGAGGGGCACAAACCCCTTGTACACCCGAGTAGCTACGCCAATGTCCAAGAGGTTTTACCTCAACTTTCAGTCTGCCTTCCACAGGCATTAGCCCACAATCTCCGTACCACCATGTTGTCGTATCAATGACGTTGGTTAATTAGTTAATTGATCCAGAGTAAAGGACGGACATTTAATTGATACTGCTTGCTAATTACAGGGCTTTTGTCCCTTTCCCCAGCAACCTCATTAGTAAAGACGTTCTGCAATAGAGACTAATTAGTAATGAGGGTGGGCATGAGGCAGAAATCCTCTCAGTCTTTTTTAGCACCACTGAGCAGTGAACCTAGGAGCACGTCGCAGAGGTGATTGCTCCGTTACGTAATGACACGTCCTTGTGTGGGTATACAGACCGAACCCAGACACCTCAGGGGTCAGCTGTACTTTTGGACCAACTCAGGTGGGTCTGGTCTAGGTGTGCACCCGAACAATCGTGACAAAAGATCTGGAGTACGGGCGGAGACTTTCCCGTGTTGCGAAACCCGAACACTGCCGAAGACAGTGTAAAAGAATCCAATGGGGGTTTTGTCCGAACCTTTATGGGGATGGGTGAAACCCGCCACATATTATACGCATAAGGGAACACGGACCCACCTCTATGTACATGCCAATCAATACGAGGCCGAAATGGCGTAATAACAGTTGCCATGTTGGTAATCCCTTTTCCTCCTCCCCCGGTAACAATACCCAGCTTTTCAAAATCTCAAGGCGCAACCTCTCTGATCGGCCTACTCAGCCCCGCTTCAGTCGGCGCGTTCCTCCAGACCTGGTGGTTCCCCTCCATTCTATTGTCTCCTGCTTTGTCCTTGCGTACGCAGAGCACCGATTCAAAACCCCCTTCTAATGCGGCTTTTCGTCTTGTTTACCGTCCGTGACAGGGGAATAGTCTTCCGAACAATGAAAGGGATCCTTACTAGGGCCGGACAGATGTCACTTTTGATTATGTTTTCACAGTTCATGTTCCGTGCGATGATCTTCATTCAGAATGTCGTCTGGGATCGTCTTCTCTGCTTTCTTCGGAAGTCTTGTAGGGTGCCACTTCTCTAATATTCATTTGTTGCCATGTTAGAAATGTAAGACATTTACAAATTATATTCCGATTATACTCCACAACATATCAATGCATTTCATCTTTACGATAAAGATTTCGACCTTAGACCCTGACAAAAAAGCCAGGTTAGTCACCTTTACTCTAGGGCATTCAGATCTTCCATCTTATTCAATGATTACAACTTCATCTAGGAGGAAATAACATACCCTTTTGTTGCAAGAAATAAACACTCCAGCTCTAGCGCACAAACTATTAGAACACAAATTTCTAAATCTACTCCGGTTCAACAAACATTGGTTTGGCATTCCTTTTTGTAGAAAATGTACCCTTTTGGCACCGAAGAACGTTTCTTCATAGTATACGAATGACTCTGATCTTGTAATAAAATGAAAAACCTTAAATTTCCTTTTCCTTTTCTTCTCGCTTTTTACTTTAATTTATTGATTTTGTAAAATTCACTTTTGTAATCAGGAAATATCTGTATATCCCTTTTCTATGCATAGGTTAAAACTTAAAGGGTTAGAAAAATATTAATCCCCAAAAAAGAAAAAGGCGAAAGTTCTCAAATATTTCTTTGTCGTGCATTTTATAACTTAGTTTTAGTTTAACCACTCTCATTTTGATTTGGAGAAGAAAAAACAGTCATTGTTAAAAGGAGCATGATAATGTAGCAATGCAGTCAATGACAAAGTAAATAAGTATGAGAAATAGATAGTTTTATCATTTAATACTTCCATTTTAAGCAGAAAGAAAGAAACTCAGAGCGCACGGAAATTTCTTGGAAAGGTCAGAAAGTGAGATGGCAGGAATGGCGTCACAAGTCGGACGCCATGACCCTCTCTCGGCTCGCCTGTTCCGATAAAAGCGCGAGAAAGTGGCGTAAAAAGTACTCCCCTTAGTCTCCCCTCGACATAGGTATCGATTTTACGAGTTAATCGTCCGGGAACGAAGTATTTTTAGTTTGTTAATAATCTAGTTGTATCACCAGACTCATTTCATGTGCTTGATTTTAATTGGGTTTGAAATAAAAGTTTTAATAAATGGACGAGAGCGAAGGAAGTGGAATCTTTTAAATTATATGGAAATAAAATCGGATTATAGTAAGTCTGATTTTATTGTTCAAAGGTGATATATTTTATGGTTATGTTTTCCATAGATTAATATAGAGTCTGTTGAAAAGACTAGATCTCTATATTTTGATTATATCAATACTTTGCCTAATAAACCTGGGCTAGACATACGATGCGTGACATGTCGCGGTGCGCTCAGCCCTTCCTCTCAAATACCGAATAACAAAAGTACCCTCTCCAAACACTCTACACCTACAAGCTAAAAAGCATCTCCTAGGAAAAAAGATTGAGATAAGAAGAGGCGAGCAAGAAGTAGAAGTCCTCCTTTTTGCATAGCAATTGCCTTGACGACGCAACATCAGTATACTTTAGACCCGCTTATGATGCGGTGGCGAGCCAGCCGTGTTTAGTAAGCGCTCTGCGTGTGCACTGGCAACTCAGACAGGATAGGCCGGCGTAACGGACGGGGAGGGGTGAATGGCCGCATCATGGCCATCTATTCGCTCGCCTCGCATGGCAGCTCGTGAAATCATTCCAGACCATCGTCGTCACCGGAACGGTACTTGCCGATGTCCGCTACTTGTATCGCATCAACGTTTTCGTCTGATTTGCATGATGACGCTGCCAGCCTGCACGAATTGTTGCTTTTCGCTCCTCTTCAATTGTTGATCGAGTATAAAGATCTAGTTAGGTGAGCGTTAAGACAAAACCTCGAGTTCATTATAACCTTTTACATGTTATTTGTCGACAAGTTGCCTATCTCTTCTTGTTCTAATTTACTACTCGATTGCAATCTAATGGGTTTCATGTGAATCCTTTTGTCGGTTTCCGATGTTTCTGAAAAGGCTAAATAGTCTATCACTTTCTTTTGTCAGAATATTAAGCTTTTGTCGTTACTTTCTCGTACAAACGAAACTTTCGATCCTCTGGTGTTACTTCTCGTAATTTCCTTTTGGCCTAACAAAAAAATCAGCAGATAATCGTCAAATTTAGCCCTTAAAGATTGGAAAGGAAGGAAGTCACACCGTATACCATCACAATTATTTCTGATTTCCTTCATTACTTTCTACTTTCCAAAATGATTTCTTTTTCATTTCTAAAATTTAATAGAAAATAATATACCCCTTGTCTTTTTCTACTTCCTAATTGTTTTCTATTTTTTCGACTTCTGATTTATCCCTTCTTTCGTGTCTCCATTGATTCCTGCGTTCCCGCGTTTCTTCTCATTCCCTTTGTGTGTATTGACTATCAGAGTGAGATATTGAAATAAATATCCGTATCGATAATAATATCTTTCATTTACTTAATATCGTCTGTTGGAGGGCGTGATGATGACGGCGCTACGGCGACGACGACGATATCTATTTTGATTATGATTATGGTTATCACGAAATAAGGTTAAGGTCTATTAGGAGTTATTCTCGTTGTTGCAGATTATACTAAACAATTTGTAGAAATATATGATTATAATTTTGTTGGAAAGATGTATACCAGTTATTTGGTGTGTTAGAAGTGAAACATTTCTCAGTTCTGTTTATTTCACTTTTAAAGTGCGTTTAGGAAACGCATACAGAAATTCAAAATTATATACCAATTATTCTGTCTTTAGAAAATCTTTCCACATGATGGTGTTTTTTCTTTTAATTAACTTCATCCTATCATTTTAGTTAACTATTTGGACTTTTATCATACCATCATATTATTACAAATTACACAGGCAGATCTAATAATTGTGGTTTAAAGTCTGATACCAGAGCTGCAGATTATCTTGATACTTTATACCTTCACTTCTTGACTTACAATGGCAAATAATGAAAGGGTTTGGTTATGGATCAATCTGAGGGCTATTAAGTCCGAATTACACACCATCACGCTCTAAATGTATGCATTACTTGTCCCGAAATGGAGTTGGTTCTTGTCGTATATGATTATTATTTTCATCGTAAAGTACATGTACATTATTCAAAATTATTTATGAGTAGGAATTATGGTTTTAAAACAAGAAATAAGAGGGTGCCTCTCGTTTGAGGACTATACCAAACGTTTTAAATCTCGTAATTCGCTTATCATTTTTATATTTTCTAACCCGTTATGTCCCGTTTGCCCTTCATCTTCAATCTGTTGTTTTTGTCTATCCCCAATTTCTTCTTGTTATCCATTACTTGTCATCTTCTTATAAACACACACACACACGACCACATCTTTTTCTCTCTCTCATATATAATTATATACTGTATATATATATATATATATATATATATATATATATATATTTACCCTTCCTTTTCTCTCTCTCACACACATACACACACACACACTCTCTCTCTCTCTCACACACACACACACACTCTCTCGTTCTCTCTCTCTCCCTCTCTCTTTCTCGCTTTCTCCCCCTTTATCTGTCAATCCATTGCTCTTGTATCTCTCTCTCTCCTCTCTCTCTTCTCATAACTTCTTCATTTCTATATCTCTCTATTTACCTCTCCCTGTTTCAATTCATAACCTACAAATCCATCTCCCTCTCTTTCTCTCTTCCCGTCTCTCCATCATCTTACCCCTCTGTCCCTAGTATCACCCATTCCTTCAAACCCTTCCGCAAAGTGGTTAGTATTATTTCCCTGCGCTATTGTTGTCCTTGCATACCCCTTCAGAGAAGTCATCGAATCTTAGAAAAACGATACAAACTCTTTGCTTTCCTTCTTTCTATCAGATTCGCTTCCTCTCCTCCTTTCTCTCCCACTTTCTTCCTGTTTCTTTACATTTCGTCATATTCCGAGTTGTGGATGCATATCCCCCAATCCGTGTGCCCACAACGTTTTCAAGCCCGCACCACAAGGGACAAATATTTACATACCGACGGTACTTGGTAAGCTGGAGTGCGGGGCACTGTCCCGGTAATTACTCCGCCTCTGCCCGCTGACATATCTTAGCAACGTTTTTTTCTTCACTGCAGGTAAAGGGTCCTTTTCACATTTCTTTCTCTCTCTCTCTCTCTCTCTTGTAGTAGTATTGGATTTCTGTCGCCAATTGAGATTTAAATTGATTCAAACACACAGTCATTAAGTAGATGAGTCCAATCGGTTTACAAACATCACACTCTAAACATGCTTAAGTAAGATATGATGATATCCTCTTCATGATTATGTAAAATTGGATGTATTAAATTCTGCGAATAGATATTGAGTAATCATGTAGAAGAAAAGGAGGCGGAATAGATGATCTTAATTAAGCAATCACAATCCAGATAATGCCATCGATTTGATAACATTTCTTTCGTATGTTAATTAAAGTACCGTGCAGGGTACTTTCAAATATCGAATATAAAATTTGAGGCCCACTAAATAAGTCATCTTTCCGCTTCATGATTATCATAGAACGCCATCGATTTCGCAATTGACTCATAATTATGCTACTTTAGTTATGACTCATAACATTTCTATTTTTATTATTTCTTTTTCTTTTGTTCAAATCGTTTGTATCAAAGCAGCTACTCTCTTCGTCCTCCTTTTTACTACTTTATTTCCTCTTTCTTCTTTTTTTCTTTTTATCCTTGTTACTTAAATGACGTAAATAACCTGAACATAACACGAAGAATATTTCTTGATGAAGAAATCTTTAGAAATAGATGTGTAGGAGGCAATAAAAGTAATAAATTATATTGTGATTACGGGCAATCAGAGTGTACCTTTTTCCGTGTAGTGCTGTCTTTCTCTATCAACAAACAACGTCATTTCGTTACATAACAAGACATTTTTAATTACGTCTCAAAATAATTGATTAATATGTAGAGAAACATATCACCGCAACCAAACCCTCTCCGGATTGTATATCTCAAGAAGTTGATTAGCAAAGTTTCGCAATGAAATTAAGAAGTTTTATATTCATGATATTGTTGTGTCGACTCTAAGGTCACACGATGTATGGGTCAGTCATCTGCGGTAAATTGGGGGTGCCACCTATGGAAGCCCAAATGATGAGAACAATAATGATGTCGCTCTGAAAAAGAATCAAAGATCGATACTAATTATGATCGACCGTTGTAACCTTCTTGGCTCTGTTGTCTGGCGATCATTCTTGATTGTTAGGCGATCGTATGATCGCTGGATCGATTGATATAGGCAGCAACATCGCGTTTGAAAGCAAGACAGGGTTCATCTTAAGGTCGGGGTCTTCCTTGATTCCAATCTTGCAGCGAGACATTTCCCCCAAAATACATTTATATAGATACCTCATTATCTTTATAAATAAGAACATGAGAACGGGGTGTCCGACGCATGTTTCGGCAACATTTGCACCGGGCCTTTTTCTCACATCAAGGATATGTTGGTTTATGGTTATAAGGTTGCATTTCTAAAATGTTTAGGGTTAGAGTTAGTGTATATTTTTAATGTTCAGATCGAGGGTTAAAGTCAGGAATTGATTAATGTTATTTTCGACCGTAGAGCAATTGTCAATCGATAATGTGTCGTCGAACCGAGAAAGATGTAAAATTGACCTGGGGATGCTAAAGGTAGGCGCATAATATGAAGGGGAAAACAAAATCTAAATAAAGTTTTTTTTTTAAATATCAATGTCCTCTCACTGTTAGGCGAAAGAACATTTAGTTATGTTGTCTAGACATGAAATGTTTCCCGTCTTTTGTGTTAAATCATATAAATTATTTTTATGGCAATACTTTTTACTCAGTTGCTCTAGGAATATATAGAGCGATCAACATGGATCAAGCGTTGTACCAGAGGTCATGACAAGAAAGAAAAACTTGAGAGTCGTCACAAATCCCTAGTTGGGTATTGCATAAACTGAAGCAAGATTATTCAGACTTTTCAAGTTAAACATTTTTTTTTCTTCTACAATATTGCTGAAATTGTATTCGATTTCTGCACTTTGATGAAATTAAGACTGCAAGGAAATTTGTCTTGGACTCTTCAACTCTCAGCAAAGATATCTCCCTTGCATTTGTCTTTTTTGTACTTATAGTTCTGTAGAAACATAACGTCATATTGTTATCCGTATCAGCTTTCACTATATAGTGGAGTTTTAATCTATTATTTCATTTCTGTAATATCTTATTTCATAGTTTGTTCTGAATACGCCTCAGGGGAGTTCTTCGCTACATTACAGTAAAAGAGAAAAATGAAATCAAAAATCCTATAAGTCGATCGGTTGTACAATCTGAACGATCTAACTGTTGTGATAATATCAAAGAAAATAAAACCTACCCTGTTTGTAATTTGTCATCGTGCGTGGTAAATCAAGTTCCAAACATCACCGGAAACAAGTTTCAAAATCGCCTTCAAAACTTTGGTGGATAAGATTCTGCTTTGAATGGTTCATATAACATTTCTATATTCACACTTATCAAATTAGCACCCTAAATTTAAGACTATTGGAAATCATATCCTGACATTTATAGCAAGTAGAGAGCAAGGATTAGAATAAGGAGACACGAGGAGATTCTTTATAGCCGGTGGCAATTTTTGTTCATTTCTTGTACCCAGTTGCATTTTGCGTATTAGTAACAAATGTTGGTGTAATTTTAGTTTAACTCATGTGAAGTCTAAAAAAAAAGCCTCTTCAATTTTTGGTCTAAAGTATTGACAAAATAATGTATAAATTTTACGAAAGTGTCCGGTGGGTGATCGTAGTGGAGTACTTTTTCTTCAAAAACCGTTTTTTTTTGCTCTGCCGTTATCATGGCTCATAATTATCTGTTCCCTTAGAAAAAAACATGGAAAGTAAGAAACAACTTGAACTCTCTTTATATTTTACACGACTATCACTTAGACTTTACATTTTCTAACACAAATCATATATATTATAAATGGTCCGTCCGTTCTTCTCTCGGCATTGTAACATTTTTGCTCTTCCAAAATTAATTACAGCTCTTCGTACGCCGTTAACGCATCACCTAAACTCCATTAGGTGAGAGAAAATAGTGTTAAATCAACCGATACAGTTTCATCAAAGCTCCAAGGCACCTATAAATGAAGAATTTCTTCTCCTTTCTTTCCCCCTTTTTCTTCATTTCTCTTCCTGTGGTGGGACACGGTAGAAAAAGAGCTAAATATATTTTCGACTATATCAACCAGCTTGCCGATGGTTGTCTTTAGGCAAGACAGATGCTCTCGTGTTCCGTGGAGCCCGGGTGTTCGCCAACTCGGGCTCCACATCGTTTATCCCCTGTTTTTTCCCCTTTCATTTTCTTTTTTGTTTTGCAGTTTGACGTACCCGTAGTTGGAGGCGCCTCTACGCTAATAGGGTGTCATAACAGTGGTATCATTTTTCAATTAAAGAAGCCCCGGCGAAGATGTGTGGCGAAACCCCTTAAGCTGTTTTTGTGCTTTTTACTAAGATCCGTTGACTATAGTCTTCGCTTAAATGATATCGCATCTTTTGACAACCGAATTGGAGGAGATAACATTTTAGTCATCTGATAATAGCTACAATTCTATTTTTCTTTGTATGTTTGCTCACACGGTTGCCTTTTCAGAGGAGAAGGAATGAGTCTATTAATAAAAATTTGAAGAAACAAGAAGGGAAAGTAATATCATCGATTTCTGTATATATTCATTAATGATTGGGAAGGATTTGATAAAATATATATAATTGTAGTTAGATTGGCATAATTTCGATGTGTAATATTGATCGTATAATGATTAGAAGCAGAATTGAAGTACAAACAAAAACAATCCGAAAATTATCAACGGCATCAATCCCAAGGTCTCTAACTGTCACCCCTTTCTCTTCCACAATATAATTAATTTGCTTATATGTTAACCTTTTCCCAATTTTAGCATTACCATTTGCACAAATTATCGACCGGAATTATATTAAACGACTATCGTGCAAAGGGAAGGCCGAATCGCGTGGTTGCACTGCCCGCCAGCCTCCCACGGTGATGCGCTTAACGCCTCTCAGACTCCTTGTCTGGCACCCGATCACAATCAATTTAAACAAATGATAATAATTCCTCCTGAAATTGCCGAGAGTAATTGTATTTCTACCCTCTCTCTTTTCTATCTCAGGAATGGCGAGGAAGAGAGAGAGAAGAAAGAGTTGAGTAGAAGAAATGGCGGGGGGGGGGGGGGGGTGTGGAGCAGGGAACATTAGGGTAATGATAATTGCCTTCCCGTCGCGACAAAATTCCATTAAAACGCTAGTTTGATTAATAACTGTGATGTATCCTGTTTCTCTTGTATCTTTGCCTGCAGGAACCGTCGCGTAAAGGAAGACCACCTCTAGCCATGTTAGCCGCCACATGTGATCGAGTCGCGGAGGGGAGTCCAGAGAGTTTCCCTGATCCACCCAAGGCCAAAGGTTTCCACCCCTTCAAAAGGACGACACCAACCATGTCTGGACTGACTGCAGAGCACGCGGCATCAAGGTTCGCCCATATGGCGGCACCCGGAAGCATGCTAGGCGCATCCTTACCGTATCCGTTGGCACCAAGCAGCTCACTTACCTCACCGTTTTCTGGAGAACTCTTCTTTTCACGGAAGACAGAACCTCGAATCCCAATCGCGACCGAGACAGCAAAGTCGAACACGTCACCGTATGGACACAAAACCGGGTTCAGCTCGGAGACAGAGCACTTGGCAGGTATCCTGCCCCCGCATCTCTGTGGACATTCTGCTTATGAATCGTGGCTGAAAGCAGCAACTTCAGCGTCTATGTTATCGCGGGAGAACGGTGTTCATGGCTTCAGTCCTGCGTTCTGGAGTTTACCGGGTGCCCAGGCCAGTTTGCTGGACCTTCATAGCAGTGCAGGCACTCTGCCTTCACATTTTGGCAAGATGCCAACTTGTAGCAGCGCATCAGACTGCAGCGCATTGGCTCTGAGCCATTCAGTTTTACCCTACCCACCCCTTACGACCACAAATCCACATCTCTTTAGCCCATCACAACTGTTTCCTCCAAGTAGCTACAACTCATTCTTACCTCCAGGTTACGATATCATGAGCCTCACGGAGATGCGATCCTCTTTCTTTGGACCAGCCGGACTCGGGCTTTCACTGTCCAGAGCAGGCCGTCGTTACAGCGGCAGGGCAACCTGCGATTGCCCAAACTGTCAAGAAAACGAGCGGTTAGCCGCAGCCGGCCAACCGCTACGAAAGAAAAATGTTCACAGTTGTCACATTCCGGGTTGCGGTAAGATCTACGGAAAGACATCGCATCTTAAGGCGCATCTTCGGTGGCATACGGGTGAACGTCCCTTCGTCTGCAACTGGCTCTTCTGCGGTAAGCGATTCACTCGGTCCGATGAGCTCCAACGTCATCTTCGCACGCATACAGGAGAGAAGCGGTTCTCGTGCCCGACATGCAACAAACGCTTCATGAGAAGCGATCACCTGAGCAAGCACGTCAAAACGCATCAGAACAATAATAACAACAGCGGCAACGACAACGGTGGTAACGCCGACAGTAAAGCAGCAGGAGAAACCGGAAAGATGTCACCGATTAAGAAGTTAGCGAGCGTTGGCAGCAGTGAAGCTGAATCGAGTCCTAGCGGTACAGAGGGGTCACCGTCACCGGTGTCTACCGGACCCGGACCTATCAGCATGTCCGTACCGCAATCAGCTGCCCTGAAGGTAGCATCACCATAGCAACATGTAATGTTTCGAACTTTTCATCCTAACAAGCCCAAAATGACACTGCAGCTTAGATACTCAGAGTATTAAAGAGAAATAATAATCAATTACTTCGCAGTCTTGAAGCAAGTAGGATACACATGCCATTAATACATCCCAGTTATAGACTTCTCAGCATACGTTAAGTTTGTAACAAATATATATATATATATATATATATATATATATATATATATAAAGAGGGATCATTGTGTGTTCTTGTTTCCGAAGATGATTCTAAAAGAAATATCTTTAGATTTTGATATTTTAATTTCTTCACATTATTCTACGTGTGATACACACACATCCACACCCACACGCGTCGCCCACTTCCACTTATTTAATTAATATATTCTTTTGTTTGAACCTGATCGTTGGCAAATTTATGGAAGGAAGCAAACAATCTCTCTCTCTCTCTCTGTTAGCATATTTACCATAATGGCTATTGTTCATCACACATCTAAGCCTGTTATGTCACATTTTATTTCATAATTGCTTCTTGCTTCTTCTTCCATTTTTGGAGGGGGTATTCCTCTTTATATAAATATATATCTTTTATTCTGAAATATTATTATTTAATTCTATTTTATAGCAAATATTCAATGGAGTTTCTGGTCACTACTACTCAAAAATATCAACAACTCCATGACTTGACCCGAGGGTCTCTAATCTTTGCACTCGCACAATCAAACACGGTCACCATGGTAACTAATTTTGAGTACTCTGGTGGACATTCATGTTCACCAGATGTAATTTCAAAAACTTCTTTTACAGTAGAGATTTTTGTCGTTAATATTTAATGTTCATCAAATTTCGTTATGCAGTTGTTAAGTCTTCTTTTGTAATTCGTTTTACAAGAGCAGGAGTCTCTTCCCTAAATTTGGACGCACTGTTTTCAAAATGACCATATGTTTCGAACAAGAATATAGGCTACTTCACTTCGAAAGTCTAGTCTGTCGCTGTTTCACATGCAACAGTTTACATAAGATTTCTCTGCATTGATGTATACGTACAAAAACTTGTTTTGATTGAAATGTTTGAACAGAGAAAAAAAATTAACCACTTTGTAACTTCGTATGTTTTAAAAGAAGTGAAATAGTTGTTCTGATATCCCATGTATTAAATGAAAATGTAAAAGGGATTCCTTTTTAACCTTAAAGAGTCACATCCTTTTATGTTGAGAAAAGGACAAACAGGAAGTTAGAAGGATTGAATATTGACGGTATGAAATCGTGGCTTTCGATTTTAAGAAAGCATCCTACTCTATTATTAGTTCGAGAGAGAATTTTTTTTAAATAATTCTATATTGTAATAGACGGGGATGTCTAAAACATGATTTAGGAATATTACCTCTGATATAGCTCGCCAATGAATCTTAGGGTTATGGGCTTCAGCTAAAGAGAATGGGCAATCATTCATTGTGGGGTATCTAAAATCATTTACCAGGTTAACACCGGATCTATTAACATTCTCTCCCGATCGCGTTTTTTTCTCCGTCAAGAAGATCGCCTTAAGAAGAGATAATACGTAGCTTGACAGTGAAACTATCAAAAAAAGAATAGCTATTATCAACCCTCCCAATATGGCGATAATGGCTCCTTTTTAAAACCCCTGTTCTGAAACGCGGGGATAAGGCTGGCATTATTGTAGGCCGACTCGATTTGGCGGGGGTTAAACGAAAAGCCATGCCTTGCGTCTTCGCGTCCACAAGTCTCCAAATGTCAGAAGAGCTTGAGCGGCTGTTTTCGCGCGTAACCGTAAAGGAAATGAGAAGAAAAGGGAGAGAAGGGGAAGAGAGAAGCGGAAAGAAGAAAGGATACAAGAGGGAACGAAAGGGTTTTTAGAAAATGGCAGGCGAGAAAAAATATGGTGTAGTTAATAAAGATGTATGGGTGAGAAAACGCGAGATGACAGCGAGGGGTTATTGCGCGTTTAGTAGCTACCCATGACGTGACTTATGGTGAAGTCTTTCCAACAAATTAACCCAGTGCGAGAAGCTAGAGCTTGAGAAACGGTAGCTAGCTGCAGCTTACGTCGTGTTCAGCAGCACAGAAACGTCACTAAAAACGTTTTCATTAGGTGAATGAAAAATGATTGAAAACGTTCAAAAGCGTTCTGAAATATAACTTTCTAGTGCTTGTATAAGCGACGAAGATGTTGCTACCGTATTCGTTCAAGCAACGGGTTGTACATTTGGAAGACTGTAATCATAAATACCTGGTGTAGGTTATCCTCTCTCTATATATATTTAATTGTCTATCTCTCTTTTTACTATCCCTCTTCCTCTTTCCATCTCTCTCTCTCTCTCTTTCTCTCTCTCACCCTCTCCCCCTCTCACTCCTCTCTATCAGACATACATACATACACACACACACACACACACACCCACTGTTTCTCTCTACTCTCCAACTGTTTTACATCTCGCTCAATCTCTCCTTCTCTCCTCGCTTTCTTTATTTCAATATATCACTCCTATCCTCCCACCAATACCTCCTCTTCTCTCCCTTTCTCCCTCCATCCTCCACCTACAACAACCAAAGCTAGGAATTAAATAACGTGCTTAGCGATAATGCTTTCATCTCGCTGTATCTTCGGATATATCTTCTGGATCAAAAAGCCGTTGCCACTTGACACACAGTCACCTGTCTGATAAATGGGTGTTCGATTTTGTTGTTGTCAAATGGCGTCCATTAGTCCCGGCCACTCATTTCCTTGTATGAAATAAAGGTAACCCTGAATGTCTAGAAACACTTTCCCTTTTGTTTCCATGACCTCTATGATGTCGTATATATATCTTTAATGATCATCTATTTTGTTATCTCCTTACTTGCTTACGACGATGGATCTGTGTATTCCGAATGCCTGATTTTGCACAATATTTAGAAAACAATATGTATGGTATCCATATTTCGTAAAAAGCTTTATGTTGTTATTATAACATGCATCGACTTACATTTAATATTCAAGATATCCATGATTCTGAATATCGTTTGAAAAAAACCATGATAGCTGGAACAATCTATTCCATTTACAAAGTTATCAATATCTTTAGGCCTATACCTTTTACCATTTTCTGAAACAAGTTTTGAACTGTAAACATGGTAAAGAAAATTGTCATTCATTTCGGTTTCAACCTACTGTGTTTCATATTTTTGTGATCGAATTACTAAATTACTAAAGATAGGTAATGTGTTGCTTAAACCTATTTGATATTACTCATAGTCAGACCTTTTTGTCTTACATTTCCCCTCATAGTATTCGACATTATAAGTAAACGATAAACTTGAATTTATTATACAACTTTATTTCATCTGATGTCTTGCCGTAAGCCTTGATAAGATTTTATTTTAAAACTTGGTAAAAAGGGGTATAACATATTTTGTTGACATGATAGTGTGGAACCGACGAGCAGATAGTTTGCTGTGATAACAAAAATACGATCACGTGATAATAATAGCTAGATCATGTGATGACCAATAGATGATCATGTCTCTTGAATGCTAAATCGTCAGCTAATGCAGATGTTATTCTTCTAAACGTGATTTCGACCCTCATAATTATGATGTACTCTGAAATATTACCAGAACATACTTCTCATATTAATTATCTATATATGATTAAACTTGTACAGCATGAAGAGGACAGATGTTATGTAACTTATTTGCACCATAATGCAACATGTTTCATTGAACGCAAGGCGTTTAAAGCCACTATGCGTGACAAGACATGGAAGAAGGGGGAAAAGAGTTCTTATGTACATTAGCCGTGAAATAGTTGAATATATTATTATGATATTGAAATGTATCACTTGTTTTTTTTTTTCTTTGTAAGTTTGGGTGTATCATATGATGGAATTGTACCTAGAAAATAAGATTTGATGTTGTACAAAATGTCTATTGTGATATATATACCGAAGCTTTAGAATTAAGAAAGAGATTTTTTTTTGCCGTTTTGAACGGGTATACCGGGGCTGTATTGAAAAGGAGTGGTGATTATGTCATGTTTCTTTTTTTTTTCCTGTGTTGTGAAAAAATATGTTTACGGAGTAAAATGAAATTATACATAAAAAACTACATGGATAAAAAACAAAAAGTGCTAATTGTTACAATGCGTCCTTTATATTTGCTTGTTTGATATCATGAGGTTGGATGAGAAAAGGAAGGGTAGAATGAGATGATTTAAGTGTGGGAAGGGAGAGGGTGAGGGGGTGAGGGGAGAGAAAAAGAGATATATAGAGAGAAAGGGGTGTGTAGTAACGCTGAGAGGGGGAGATGAAGAGAAAAGTAAATGAATTGGATAGAGTGATGGACAGATGAAGGGCATGAAAGAGGGAGAGAAAGAATGATAAAGAACGATGGATCACAAACATTTAAAGTTTCAAGTGAGTATGATTATGTTTGTATAGTATTATTCAGAATGTAATTATTATACAGAAATTTTCTAAATATCAGATATAAGGGAAATTTCAAGAGAAAATGGTACCTTAATCATAAACATTTGATGTAAAAACAAGAAGAGAATAACAGCATCGTTTAGTTGGACAGATTAGATAGGTTGATTGAATAAAGATTGAATTCATCATAATTCCTGTGATGTAAGAGACAGACCTTCATGTAGAAAATTGTATATTGATAATTGATGATTTATCTTCAAACACACATATTAATTTGACATTTTGACATTTGTTGATTCAAAGACAATGAATGATTATCAGCACAATTTTGTTTTAATCTAGAAAGAAATGGAGAGTTAAGTTAAACGTATAGATCGTAAGATTAATAGAAACTTAGATATATGTAAGAGACTCCACGCACAAGAACCAGGTGAAATCACACACGCACACGCACACACGCACAAAAACACACACGCACACATCTTAATACTTCTTTTAGCTAAAGGAAATATTTTCTTAACGCGCTGGGCCCATGTGTTTGGTGAAATGAGGATCTGACGTTCTTGCATGTCAGCAGGGTGCGATATAAAAATACATCTTATACGGGGGGTAATAGCAAATGAGATATATGTTTTTCTACTTCGCCATCCGAAAACAAATTCCAGGCCTGGCACAAACACACCCACCAAGCGAGAGAAAGACGAAGGAGAAGTCATTTCGCATCTGTATGGCTCTGGAAAAACATTAATTTGATTGAGGTTCTCCGAGTTCAAGTTAGAGATGTCGCCTATACGCCTTTTACGTGTGCCCTAAATTCACCCGCCAAGATGCGGAGAGGGACGGGGGCCGGGAGTTCGCTCCTCCCTTCCACTCTTGACGATGGGCCTATTTCACGTGTAATATACGTGAGATGTGTATATGAAATGAATGCGCACAATCATCCTGTGATCGAACTTTTTTAAATATTTTTTAAAAACTAATGTCATTTATATGATTTGATTCTTTATCGCATGGTACTTAGGGCAGATTTAAAATCAGACCTAAAAATACTGGCTAGATAAAATGTTTCTCATTTTATCAGTGAACCTTGTAATTATAATGAGAAAGATATCGATGAGAGAGCACGAAACACTAGATTTTAAATGTATTAAACGTGAATATTTTTCTTACATTACTTTTTCAGACTCAATCATACAGAACATACGTGGATTAAAAGAATAAAGCTAATCTTTCTTTAATATCTTTGATATATTAACACAATACTTGTATTAAACAATTCGAAATGTTAAATGATATATCAAATTTTTGACACAATATAGGGGCATTCCTTGCATTGAAATTGAAATGCAAATCAATATGGATTAATTCGCTAAACGATATTACTCTTTACAGCTATGTGCCATGTGCCCATCATTTTGAGAACATAATTATAAGACAACTAATGCTATGAGCTAAGAACTTAAGCTAGATTTAAAAAAACGTTAAAATATCAAAACAGTTTAGATGCAACATGAGCAAAGGACGGGGTATCTTAATTGTACTGTATTAAAACATTATAGATGATTAATAAATTGGATAAATACCTACACCATTCATCATGAATAACAATTAAAAACAAAATATTAGAAAGTTAAAATGAAGAAAAAAAGGAAGAAATGATGGGTAAATCTGCACCCCTCATCCCTCATCCCTGAACTGTTTTCTTACCATGATGCACCCCTACGTGCCACCCTGAAAAGCTATCTTGCCCCCAAGTCAAACTTGATATACCCACCCAGGGTGATTAGAGCGCCAACAAGGAGGATCTCACACGCGAAATAACCATCATCAACCCCGTCATCTACCTCATCAGTTTTTCTCTTTTACTTTCCTTTTCTTTTTTCTTCAGTTT